ATGAACGATGTTCTTCTTGGACATCGCCAATACAACGTTGACCAACTTCTTCATGCATTGTTGAGTTTCATCCTCGGTGAAGAAACCTCCTACGTCCCACATGAGGCTTCGGAGATCTTTGCAATGAGTCGGTCTTTCGCAAATGATCACAAATTCCTCAGATGATAAAGACTGATAATGATAGAACTTGATGACATTTGGATGATCTTTCATCTTCTTCAGGAAATACACTTCACTTGGTACATCACCGAGGTCTTTATCCTGTTAAAGAACAATTGTAGGAGAATTCGATATCGTTGTTTAGCAAACGAATGACAATTGTTCGATAGGGTGTCCTAGTACAGTACCCGCTTCTATCCGCTGTTTCAAAAGTGGAGGTGCACAATGCGAAAATGATTACTTTTCTTCATGCTACACAAATCTTTGATACGATCAAAGAACCATTGCTGATTTCACGAAATTTTAGGTAACTTAATTTAATTTTGAAATTCAGACTGGAAATTAATACCTCTTTGATTCAAAATGGTAATTCAACGTCGTCATGAGTGGAAACGGCTAACAAAATTAAATCATTTATATGTTTGCAACCTCAATTTCAACGGACTGTAAGCTATATCATCTCCTATGCCCAAAACTTCAACCTCGTGGGAGTTTCTACGACCTTACTGTACTCACCTTGCGATACTCACGAACCGTTTTATATCTTTAAATTTCAGGGCGACCTAAGAGAAAAAAATTAACCACTTACATCGATGGTTTTCCTGAAAAATTCAACGGTATGGCTGACAACTAGTAAGATTTGGGCATTTTACTTCATCTCAGAAGCATGGAGGGCAATATGGCAAATAATGCCGAGGAATGTTTGTTTTAGGAAGGAGAGACATTTTGTAAGAATTACCGGTGTTTTTTTGGTTCCTTTTATGGCATAACCCTTGAAAACTCCACCAAATCCACCTTCGCCAATCAAGCCATTTTCGATATAGTAGTATGTCACACCTGAAAGTCAAAAGCAATTGCTTGTTAATACAACTAAATAACTAAAGAAATATGTAAAGTAAAATGGATTTTAGAATAAAAAAACAAATGCTAAAAAAATAGGTTCGTGATTTCTATAACGTTAGAATCGACTTGCCTTTTGACTTGCAAACTTCAACAAGGTTTTCCCCATCGACAACTCTAGTGACGCGTGGCACATTTGAAGGTTGGGAAGGTTTGACTTGGCTTTCTTTCATGATTTTCCACTTGATGAGTTTTTCTTTCAAAATGTTACGCTTTCTCTTCACGTCATAGATGCTTGGGAATATAAATTGAAAATTTTTTTAATAGATCTAAATTGAGGAGTGTAATGGGAATATTTTAATAAATACAGCTGTTGTTAACTTGTTTGTTTACTTTACGGACTGCATGTAGCTACACCATCTTAAATTATCAATAAATACCGCGCCTACCTTTCATTTGTGCTATCTGGAATGCAGTTGAGCAAGATTGAAGCTATAAACATAAAGAATATCGTTATGGGTTAGTGAGTTGACTTGTGCTTATTGTGTTTCTATTTAATTGCATTAATATCAAATATTATTGAACAAAAATTTGTTAGAATCAAAAGTACTGAAGTTTGCCGATCTTTCATTGTTATTTTTGAGATAAATTTAATCTTCAAAAAGAGTTTTGGATTGTAAGCTGCTCATTTCTTACCATTTGTTGAGACGTGTGAGATTTGGAAGAGTTCACCGGCAGAATGTTGGTTTCCACTGTGTATTAATGAAAATGAAGAATATTTAGTTAAAGAATGAAAGATGAAGAATATCGCATTTAGAAATTGCTGCCCTATTTTTTACACCTAATTGTCGGTACAAACATGAAGCTAAATATTTGTCGACGTATATAATAGAGGGTGCCCAGAAATATTGCGCTAAGTTAAAGATAGGCGCAAACAGGGGCGTGTTTTAAATTTTGATCGAGGCTGGCGCACACTTAGCAATTTTCCGCGGCCCTTGGATGACCCCACTAAATTCGGCTTAGAAAACGCATCATAAAACCCTCAAACTATAGCACTTTGAAAGACTGAAATCTTAGATAAATAAAATCTTACCAATCCCAGGAATACTCCATGTCAAAGAAGCGTAAAAACTGAAATAGTAAATAGTAAAAAGTCTGGTTAAGTGGAGAGTTGAACTGACTTCTCAAACTCAAACAGCAAAGACGCGCCTTTGAAATAATAACATGTGTTATTTCAATATCTCATAACCATACTACTTCCTAGAATATTTATGCACGGATTTTACAACATCAACTAGAGTAATTTCCTTTTTTTCAAATCATGAATTATATCAGGAAAAATTAGAATACAACCTAAAATTATGCAACTGTTTAGGAGATCAATATACACGTGATAAAAAAGCAAACTTATTTTTCAATTGATAATAAAAAATTCTTTACCTCAGAATACTCCGAGATTTGAGACGCGTTTACGTAATCAAATGAACACTGGACACTACCAGCACTGAAAACGATATTTTGTATTAATGTAGGGGACTTGAAGTGGTAAAAGTCTGTAACCTCACCAAAAAAAAGAACAGGTTTATATATTCAGAAGGTAAATTAGTAACGTTTATTTAAGTCTTATATTACGTAATATATTAAGTTTTACTCATGCATCCCAAATTCAAGCCAGGAATAGTCGAGAAAAAAAGTTGTCAGGTATCGTTGCCTTGTTAGAATTCAAACCTACGCCTTTGCGATGCCGACATTACCATCGTAAATACACACTAACAACGCTCGCTCCTATGAGCTACCCGTGTAGCTCAAAAAAAAGATCATTGCACCGGCATCATAAAGGAGAAGGTTTGATTTCTGCCGAAGGCCATTTCTCACAGGCATCGGAAAGTTTGCTAATTTTTTTCTCCTGCTGACAGAACAAATCAGCATAAACTTAACATCTCCCCCTTGCGTTGAAAGATGAGGGTAGCTAAATGGGTAAGAAGCGCTTGCATGGTTTGTCGTGACGCAAGGAAACCTTTTTATTATACTTTATAATAAAATATTACGTATTATTATCTCATCGTTATTTTTTCGTATCACAGATGAATAATATTTCCCCAAAATGAAGACAAACACGTGTCAATATAATAAAACATCCTTATGTTATAGCTAGACGCAATGTAAATAAAGATCATACCTCAGAGATCTCTCAAACGTTTCTTCTTCAAACGAAAATACTGATTCCTCCTGTGAAAATTAGAACGTTTATAAGCTTATTAAAGTACTGCTTTAATTCCCGATTTCAATTCATTTTAAAATCACAGAACCGTCCACAAAAGAAAAACACTAATTCATACCTTATAGGAGATCCGAGAATCATTAGAATTCATATTCCTGGACAGAGGCGAAAGAAAAAATGCATGAATAATGTTAAAAAGTTTTAAACAAAAATTCCCTTAAAGATCGAAGCGCAGTCTTAAACGTTTAGAGAGTGAGAAACACGCAGAACGCAATTCTAGGCCATTCATACGCCTAATATGAAATGTTACACAAAATTCTTATTACAAAGCCGTATAACAAGATGTATGAGAGAATTTTTAAACTTTGGCTTATTCATGCACCGTTTAAGCTAAACGCCTTTCGAACAACCGCTCCCAGAAAGTTTGCTAAATTTTTTGTCCTACTGGACCAAAAAAAATTCCATATAAACTTAATATCTCCCCCTTGCGTTGAAAGATGAGGGTAGCTAAATGAGTAAGAAGCACTTGTATGGTTTGTCGTGACGCAAGGAATACCTTTTTATTATTTATACTTTATAATAAATATTACATATTATTATCATCGTTATTTTTTCGTATCACAGGTGAATAATAAATGATTTTGCCCAAAATGAAGACAAACAGGTGTCAATATAATAAAACATCCTTATGTTATAGCTAGACGCAATGTAAATAAAGATCATACCTCAGAGATCTCTCAAACGTTTCTTCGTCAAACGAAAATACTGATTCCTCCTGTGAAAATTAGAACGTTTATAAGCTTATTAAAGTACTGATTTAATTCCCGATTTCCAATTCATTCTTAAAATCACAGAACCGTCCACAAGAGAAAATAACTAATTCATACCTTATAGGAGATCCGAGAATCATTAGAATTCATATTCCTGGACAGAGGGGAAAGAAAAAATGCATGAATAATGTTAAAAAGTTTTAAACAAAAATTCCCTTAAAGATCGAAGCGCAGTCTTAAAAATTTAGAGAGTGAGAAACACGCAGAATCCAATTCTAGGCCATTCATACGCCTAAATGTGAAGATGTTACACAAAAATTCTTGTTACAAAGCCGTGAATTGACGTGGAACGGGCGTTTGGATTTACGCGCGCGTTTTTATTAGCGCGTGCATTTACTTTGTTCGTTGCGCTGAGCTGCCGTATTTTTAGTATACTTTTGATTTTCATTTCTCAAATCAAATCTCAAAACCAGTTTACGTCGTCACTTTTGACAATGAACTAAATTCTCTTCCTTCCGAAACACAAACGGAACTGTGTAAACACTTTTCTCTGTTTATATTTTATAAATTAAGCCACTTAATAATACGCAAAATGAATTAAAACAAAAAATATATGTAAACCACAATTATTTTTACACTAAACAATAAAATCTTTAATATACTTACATATTTTCTCGATAATTTCAATGTAGAATATCGAACAGCAATATAACAACACCTTTGAAAACAATTTGCAACGAACTAACTTCGCGAAATGTGAACCTCTCGAAAAATTTCGACAAGTGAGCGGTCCTTTGTTGACGTAGATAACTAATACTTTTGCACCCGGGAGTTTTGGTGAGCAAGCGAGACATTGAGTCAGCGTTCGTGAATATTGAGAATGTATATTGAAAATGTTATAATATAAATAAGTAGGCTACATGTAATTATGTTGTGTAATTAGGTACATGCTAAAGTATGCAATCTACAATCTTGTGGTAATGTACAACGATTTCTTAAGCCTCGTTGACTCTTATTTACACCAGAGCGTTCGAAAAGTGCGTATAACATACTCATGCAGTGATTCCCTCTGAAGGGGAAAGCGAGTTATCTTGAGCCGTTTTAGCCGAACATCAGATTTACAGTCTTGTTCGTCGCTTTACATTAGGCCAAGTTAAAATGATTTAAAAATTTAGAGCTATAGAGTTGTTAAATTCAAAATTATAATGTATCTTCAGAATGTGTGCAAGGAAGAAGTTCTGTTTTAAAACATTCGGCGGGTTATATAAACTTAGTCAAGGAACCTTTTTCTCAGATTTCATATGGTTGGATTTAGGAACCTATCTACAGGTCTGTACCAATTGTGGCATCGTCTAAGTTATTTTGCTGTGACTTTTCACTCGTGAGTAGGTTCATTTCAAGATTGCGATTTTTGCCTGTGCTCTTTTTCCTGAAGAACTTTAGCAGTTGTTGTCTTGTAGAAGCACGTAAAATAACGAAAAAAATAAACACGAAAGTTCCTTGAAGTGAGTTGAAAATGCAAAACAAATACTGGAACAGGAGTTTAGCATCATCAATGGCGAGAATGCCAAAAAGCCAAGTCAAACCAAGCAAGACCATGATCGCTATTCCTTGTCTAGCTTGCTGAAAACCCGATGTTTTGCGGTCAGAAGTAACTTTGGTACCGGAAGTAAGCAATGAATACATGATAAGGCAGAAAGCCACTGTATTACCAACAAATATCACAACGGCTGGAGTGAAAAATGCTATAATGAATGGCAAGCCTTGTAGTCGACAGCTATAAAAGGGTAAGAGACAATTTTTCAATATCAGTTGCTTTATGTGGTGCATACAGATCAATAAAAAGGAAACTATTAAATGTTACAAATTGCTTCTATTTAAAAATAAAATTGAAACAAGTTTTTGGCTTACTAATTTTTGTCGCCATATTTATCCAAAGCTACCACCATTGTAATCGCCACGATAACAGCAGGTGCGCCTGAAATGCAAATATGTCAAAGTATTATACCATTAAATATACCAATGGACGACATGCACCATTTTTAGTACGACACCACTAAATTAATTTATACAAGTAGCGCATAGATTTGAAATCGGGGTTAATAGACCTTTTCAGCTTGATGCAAATTAACCCATTTCAGATGTTGTGATCATGGAATAGCCAATAAAATAATGTTGTTGTTTGGGTCTGCCTTACTTCATCTAAGGAATAACTTGTACTTCTTAAAAGTCGAGAAGTGCGTTTTTTCTATTACATCTTTTTGCTATTACTTTTATCTCTTAGAATTTCTATTATTTCAGTCTATGATTGAAGTGCAGCCATTGAGCAATATATACAAAAAAACTCGTTATCTGTAGCATTTCTAATTTTTCCCTACCGGTTATAAATATTTCTGACAAAAACTTACCCCAGGCAAATAAACAGCACCTCATCATGAACTTTGAAGGCGACGAATAAGGAAACACTTTAACAAAAGCCAGATACATATTAAACCCTTCCACGGCCATCCACAAGAATGCTGCTAACAAGAAGTAATGCAAGGCGACTGCCACTGCTCGACAGCCAGATACTGGTGACGTTTTGGGCAACTCGGTATACACCAGGAATACAATTAACAGCAACGACAAAGCAATACAAAAATTTAGCAAAATCTGGCTTGGAATTTTTGTGCGGAGTTCTCTAAATTAACAATAAAAGGTGATAACGGTCATAAGGTGAAAACTAATATAATTATGGCTGTTGTTCCCATGCAAATTTTTTTCATTTGTCTCTTGCGACAAAGAAATTAAGAAATAATTTCACACAATGCATGTGGGTTCTGTAATGGATCATTTCCAATTTTGGTAAATTTTGTACAAATTCATGTTTAATACTACTTTATACAAATTTTGCCAGGCGAATGGTCCATTGACTGGTATATTTGTAGATTTATACTGGTATTTGGGGACTGGTGTATTTCTAGATTTCTACTAGTATTTGGGGACTGGTATATTTGTAGATTTCTACTAGTATTTTGGCATCAAGAAACGAATGCAACTGTGACTTTAGTGGAAAAGTGTTTATTATAGACTGGTTTAGATAAATAAAAACATATTATTTGATACATCACTTATGGTCGCAGTTGTCACTGTTACCTAAAATGGCTGAGAGAATGGTAGAATTTCTACAACCAAGACAAAACATCTTTTAGGCGTGAAAAAGAACGAGGTCATAATATAAGGGCATAGCTATATCACCTGTTTAATTATTGACAGTACCTGAATAGCAGTATCGTGATTATCGTCAACACCAGTCCAACCAATGACAGCGCACATCCAATAGTACTGACTACACTAAGTATTTCGTCATGTGAAGTGTAGGCCCCCACTGGGGGACTAATATCCTGTAAGGATGGAGAAGAACGACTTTCGGTAAAAACTGGTATTTCGTGTTTTATTAGACAAACATTGACTGTATCTTGTGTTTTAAATGGGTCGAATCGATGACTTACCATTAACATCGCAAAGTTGGTGAAATGGTTACAATTACAAAGTACTCTGTCATCGTTAAGGACTCTTTCAAACCAACAACCTTCTTGTGACCAATTTTGAAGACTAAAATCCCAGTAAGAACACAAAGTAGTATTTGTGTCTCCTGGAAACGTTCTCTGGAAAGCGATTTTAACAGGCGTCTTCAAATTTGCAACTGGAGTCCTCTTAACGCTCCCAGCAATAACAAAGCTATTCAAACGTCTCGTGGTTTCTGCTAAAGTTGCTTTAAAAAATTTGGCTTCTTTATAAAAGACAAAAAAAAATGTCTTGTTTTCTGAACTCATTGTAATTGTTGATTCATCGAATATTGTTTCTGGGATCACGAATGATGTCGTTGAAGTGCACTGGAAACATGCATCAAATTTGATTGACGTGTTAATATTCTCCAAGGACACCTTTTCTGTTCTCCTTACCATCCCAGAAAACGTTATTCCGTTAAACTTTTGTGGTTGTAGTGCTTGCAGATTAATAGCATAATTTCTTTTAACTTTTTTGAATTTGCCTTCTTCATCAAGGGGCAAAGTTTCCGCGAAATCATTCAAAGCTCTGACGATCCTGAAAAGTAAGAAAAATGTGGTTTGCCAACTGCGGACGACGATATTTTTCAAACTCTTTCTTATTTTGCAACCAAATTTTTCCGGCCTGACTCATTTAGGTTACTCTTTCAGATGTACCGATAAATATTTCTGCAGCCTCAAATTTATTTTAAAAAATAATGTTTCAGGTTGAAGGGGAAGAGAGACATTAAAAAAACCTCCCTGAACTTATGGAGGACCCCTACACCCCAAGCTCAAAGCGTCTTTAAGTTGTAACTTTCCAGTCTTCTTTGCAGGTCCGATAAAATTTATCACCCACACAAAAATGTTTGCTGCATACATGAGATAACGATAGTTTCAATGATTTGTCTACCTTGAAGAAGCATTGTGTTCCTGTTGACTTTGAAACACATCTTCCTCTCTGTTATCCAAGACATTGTCTACTGTCGTGAGGAAATCGTCAGAAACCTAGTAATTTGCAAACCCAAAACAATTAGACGGTTAAAGAAATTTAGTACTTTTTACAAAGGGGATTATTCAAAATTCTGGCCTCTGATTGGTCGAGATTATTACCCAAGTTGATTTTTAAAATCTCAGCGAATAATTATTACATTAAAAATTTATCCTAAAGTAAATATTAAGTTTAAAACATAAGCTTATTACTAAAATAAAACATAAGCAATTTCTATTGTCAATGCTTCGAATATATGATAGCCAATTTAAAAAAAAGCACAATCGAAAGGGGAAGTAATGTACATAAACTTGAAATTACGTAATATGTAACTCATAAAATTGCATGTATTGACAATAACATCTGAAATAACAAACCTCGCTAGATTTCTGTTTGACCTTAACAATTTTCTGAAGTATCGTAGCGATGTTGCTAATATCCCCAGATTGAAGAGTCTTTTCAGGATTAACGAAGGAAAGATTTCTCACTTCCTGGGTGACATTTACCACGTTTTCGAAATCGACAACTTCCTAGAACAAACAACAATAATGCCAGGTTTTATTGAAGCTCAAGTTCCAGGTAAGCAATCCAGTTTTTTAGAGTCGGCAGAATGAAGTTCTACACACAGTATGATCACTTTGAGCAAAGTAAAAATGCAAACGGCCTTGTAAAATTGTTGATCATTTAACTACAGCTAATCAAAACATCAGCCTGTCAACGTTCAAAGAAGAATCAAACTTTTATTATCTAGTTCCTATAGTCGGCTGCCTTCACAGTAAATTCAAAAGAGTCAAAGCTACCCATTCAATCCACATAACTACTTTTTGGGAATAGCTTTAAACCGGTTTTGAATACACAGGGATATCTTTAAATATGTTTAAACTATAGTATCAATTTTTATAGCGAATTTTTTTAAAGATCAAGAGGAAGCACTAATGGCATCAATATTTGAATATGCTGGAAAGACTCGAAAATCCACGCTTCGGATTAAATACCTGTGACAATTGAAAGAGATCTCTGCTTCGTTTGTTTTGAAATTTGCAACTACTTGCCACAATATCACCCCAGATACTTCCACCCTTGGTTCGGTTTGAATGCAAACATTCCCGACTTGCAGTGGACTCGTTGTTATAAGGACAAGCAAGTTTAGAAACTTTTCCAACCGGAGTTTCAGGCCATTTGAAAATGCCATACACTTCATGTGTACCATCTTCGACACTAGGACAAGGACCTTTGAACGAATACAATCAAATCAGGTTTTAGGAACACCACGCGTATTTGTTATCTCTAAAACTTCCAGATATGGAATTAAGAAGTGTAAACGTTTCTTTTCCACCGACATTTCACCTGTGTTAGTACATTCTACTCCAACGCCTTCTGAATGGTTGCAATTATGGTTTCCCCATCCTTTGTGAGAGCAACTTGTTATATTTTGTTCTTCCCCAGTGCAACCAACTTCAGACAACAAAATTTGACCAGAACCAGAGGGAACCTGGTGACTTCGAAGAGTTTTAACAGCATATCTATAACCAAGTTGACGACATACAACCATAGCATCTTTCATATCCCATCCATTACCACAAATTCTTCCCCATTGTCCATTGTAGAACACTTCAACACGACCAGTACCATTTCCACTCAATGGTCCTTGTAATCTCAGTGAAACAGGCTTACCTACAAGAATTTACGTAAAAATTATGATGGGGTTCTAAGAAGTCACAAGCCGGTATTTGTCGCGATATTTGTTATCTCTAAAACTTCCAGATATGGAATTAAGATGTGTAAACGTTTCTTTTCCACCGACATTTCACCTGTGTTAGAACATTCTACTCCAACGCCTTCTGAATTGTTGCAGTTATGGTTTCCCCATCCTTTGTGAGAGCAACTTGTTATATTTTGCTCTTCCCCAGTGCAACCAACTTCAGACAGCCAAATTTGACTAGAACCAGAGGGAACCTGGTGACTTCGAATAGTTTTAACAGCATATCTATAACCAAGTTGACGACATACAACCATAGCATCTTTCATATCCCATCCATTACCACAAATTCTTCCCCATTGTCCATTGTAGAATACTTCAACACGACCAGTACCATTTCCACTCAATGGTCCTTGTAATCTCAGTGAAACAGGCTTACCTAAAAAAATTTACGTAAAAATTATGAAAGGGTTCTAAGAAGTCACAAGCCAGCATTTGTCGGGAAGAGATTTTCCAAGGTAATTATTTTCGAGGATTACAGCGAATTCTCACAATACTTTTTATTGAAATGACCGTATTTAATACATTTTACTATAATTATAACTGTATACAGCCAGCCTTAGAACTATTCCTCCTATGTTAATATATTGATATTCATTCACTGCGGAAAAAATCAATTTCTAGGTATCTACAAATGCAAAACAAGTTGTGAAGTTTTGTTACATTGCTTCAAAATCAACTTGTAAAATTGTCCGTATATTGTCATGTTTTGAACTAAATCGTCGTCACAGTTGATTTAAATATTGGGCATTTGTGTCAGGTTCCGGCACAAATTCGCTGCGAAGTTTAAATGTTCCATATCACTTGAATACCGCGAATTTGCACCGGGAATAAACTTTGTATAAATATATTCGTATAAACGATTCGCGAAATCGCCAATTTAGACTATGACTATATCTTTAAAAGTATCTTGATCTATGACTATATCTTTTTAGAAGTATTAATCCTTAAAGTTTTTACTTGTGTTAGTGCATTCCACTCCAACGTCTTTCGAATGGTCGCAATTGTGAGATCCCCATCCTTTGTGGAAACAACTTGTTATATTTCGCTCTTTTCCAGTACAATTGATGTTGTTCAACCATATCCGTCCAGCACCAGAAGGAACTTGGTGACTTGGAAGGGTTCTTACAGCATATTTATAACCAAGTTGACGACACACAACCCTAGCATCTCTCATATCCCATCCATCATCACAGATTGTTCCCCATTCTCCATTGTAGAGTACTTCAACACGACCAATACCATTTCCACTCGATGGTCCTTGCAACCTCAGTAGAACTCTCTTACGAGGTGGAACTTTAAAAAAAATGCATACAAACATCTCAGGTCAGGTATTATTGTTAGTAGTAGTGGTAGTAATTATGTCTACGAAATTTCTATTTATAAGAAAAGAAATAAGAAGACCAATAATTAAACGAAAGATAACAATTAGCCCCCCCGGTTAATTAGAATTAATGAATAAATAACTAGATTGAATTAGTATTAGCCTATTATTCTATTTGGAATACCTTTGTCTGTTGTATTGCATTCCACTCCAGCGTCTTTAACATGATCGCATTTGTGGATTCCCCATCCGCGATGAATACATCGTGTTATATTATCTTCTTCTCCATTACAGTCGATGTCATCCAACCAAATACGTCCAGACCCAGGTGGCACCTCCTCCCTTTGAAGGGATCTGACGGCGTCAGGATAACCAAGTTGACGACATGCAACCCTAGCATCTCTAAAATCCCATTTATCATCACAGATTGTTCCCCAGGTTCCATTGTAGAGTACTTCAACCCGACCGGTGCCATTTGCACTCGATGGTCCTCGTAACCTCAGTGATACAGGCTCATCTAAAAGAACGTGAAAGAATGTGAAAATATTTAATAAAGTTCATGCTAGTTTTACGTAAATCGAATCATGCAAAATGTACATCAACCACATCTTTTCCGTACGAAATTCACTATTATTTTATACCGGATGTGCGGCATTCAACTCCAGCATCTTCCAAATGTGAACAAGGATGAATTCCCCAGCCTCGATGAGTACAGCTTGTTATATTCCGTTCTTCCCCTGTACAAAAGACGTTGATTAACCATATCTTCCCGGAACCAGAAGGAACTTCGCTTCTTTTAAGAGGCCTAACAGCATCTGGATAGCCAAGTTGACGACATACAACCCTTGCATCCCTGAAATCCCATCCATAATCACAGATTGCACCCCAGGTTCCATTGTAGAATACTTCAATACGACCAGTACCTATTGCACTCAGTGGCCCTCGCAACCTCAGCAAAACAGGCTTGTCTGCAAAGACAAACAAGAGTCAGATGTTTGAGCATAGTGGTTCAAGGCTAACATTAGTTAAAAACAACGAGCTCTTTCCAACAATGATAAATTCTGTATGAAGTACAGTTGTGTCAAGTGAAGTACATGCCTTACACATTAAAAAGAGGCAAGAAAGAACAGAGTTTGAAGTTTTACCTGTTCTACTGCATTCAACTCCGGCGTCTTCATGATGTGAGCAACCATGAACTCTCCACCCGCTGTGAGGGCAACTTGTTATGTTCCGTTCTGACCCAATGCAGTCCACCTCATTTAACCATATTGGTCCAGAACCATGAGGAATCTGGTGCCCTTGAAGAGCACGAACGGCATCGACATAGCCAAGTTGACGACACACAACTCTGGCATCTCTGAAATCCCATTCAACATCACAGATTGTTCCCCATTGTCTACTGTGGAATACTTCAACACGACCAGTACCAACGGCACTTAATGGTCCTTGCAATCTTAATGAAGCAAGACTACCTGCAAGAATTTAAAAACAACAATTAACATCAAGTTATTTTTACGGAATTTTCTTTTCCAACAACGAGATACGAGCCACTAATACAACGTTGAACAATATCTTAAATATTCTAAAAATTGTTCAAAAATTTTAAGGAATAGAAGTCTGGAATTTTTAGGCGAAATTCAAAAGTTTATGATTATCTTGAAATCAGTGACACAGGCTCATCTAAAACAACGTGAAAGAATATGAGATGATTTAATAAAGTTCATGCCAGTTTTTCAACGATGTCTTTTCCGTACGAAATATACTATCATTTTATACCGGATGTGCGGCATTCGACTCCAGCATCTTCCAAATGTGAACAAGGATGAACGCCCCAGCCTCGATGAGTACAGCTTGTTATATTCCGTTCTTCCCCTGTACAAAAGACGTTGATTAACCATATCTTCCCGGAACCAGAAGGAACTTCGCTTCTTTTAAGAGCCCTAACAGCATCTGGATAGCCAAGTTGACGACATGCAACCCTTGCATCCATGAAATCCCATCCATAATCACAGATTGCACCCCAGGTTTCATTGTAGAACACTTCAATACGACCAGTACCTCTTGCACTCAGTGGCCCTTGCAACCTCAGCAAAACAGGTTTGTCTGCAAGGACGAACAAGAGTCAGATGTTTGAGCATAGTTGTTCAAGGCTAACAACAGCTAAAAACAACGAGCTGTTTCCGACAATAATAAATTCTGTATGAAGTACAGTTGTGTCAAGTGAACTGCATGCCTTACACATTACAAAATAGGCGAGAAAGAACAGAATTTGAAGTTTTAATTACCTGTTGTACTGCATTCAACTCCAGCGTCTTCATGATGTAAGCAACCATGAACTCCCCACCCGCTGTGAGGACAACTTGTTATGTTCCCTTCTGACCCAATACAGTCCACCTCATTTAACCATGTTGGTCCAGAACCATGAGGAATCTGGTGCCCTTGAAGAGCACGAACGGCGTCGACATAGCCAAGTTGACGACACACAACTCTGGCATCTCTGAAATCCCATTCAACATCACAGATTGTTCCCCATTGTCCACTGTGGAATACTTCAACTCGACCAGTACCAACGGTGCTTAATGGTCCTTGCAATCTTAGTGAAGCAAGACTACCTGCAAGAATTTAAAAACAACAATTAACATCAAGTTATTTTTACGGAATTTTCTTCTCCAACAATGAGATACGAGCCACTAATACAACGTTGAACCGCAATATCTTAATCTCAATCCTTTAAGGAATAGAAGTCCGCAGTTTTGAAGCGAAGTTCAAAAGCTTATGATTGTTTTGAAATCAGTTTATTAAAGAAAAAAAACTGTGTGTGCAGTCAATAATGACCAATTTGAAAACCGAAATGAAGACCAATTTTCACCCGGACTGTTTTTCGTTGGTGGAAATGACTACGACTAAATATACACCAGCTTCGGGAGAACACCGAAACATGGATATAAATATAAATTTCTACCAATATTTTTACCAGTGCTACCTACATTCTACCCAAACATCTTTTGAATGATCGCAACCATGTTTCCCCCAGCCTGGATGAATACATCTTGCTATATTTTCTTCGCTTCCAGTACAATCGACGTCTTCTAACCATACACGTCCAGGGCCAGACGGAATCTTCCAACCCTTAAGAGATCTGACAGCATCTGGATAACCTAGTTGACGACACACAACCCTAGCGTCTCTCATATCCCATCCCTTATTACAGATTGTTCCCCATTGTCTGTCGTAGAGTACTTCAACACGACCTGTACCTTTTTCACTTTTTGGTCCTTGTAACCTTATTGTGACCGGCTTACTTGCTAGAAATAACAGGAATATGTGGTTTGGTTATAAATAGAAAGTTTTGTAGAAACAGAAAAAAGTAACTCGATTATGCAAGTGAAAAGAGCAGATAAGCCTGGTTTCCATGCAGTAATAGTTGTCGCGAACACATGAAGGTGGCTGATTCACACGAGTTCCAATGAAGAAAAAAAAGCCTGTATTTTCTTAATTTATCGATATCAAGTTGAAAATTGGTAGAATGACATACAATGTAGATGAGTGATTTACCACAAATGCAAAAAGCGGAGAGGGAAGTTTCACAATCATCCTAAAAATTAATTTACCTATAACAAGAGTTCGTGAAATCGATGGGAATATTAGTCACTGGCAGAGATCAAAATAAATGTACCAAATTTATATCAAACTAATTTAAGCATTTGCTACTAACCACTGCCTTTCAAAGGCAAACAAAGATATCGTGACAAGTTAATCCGGTATGGTGCAAACAGGACCTCTGTTTTCAACGAAGGCATATAACCTGTTCTCTTCTTACCTGTGTTACTGCAATTCACTCCAGCGTCTTCGTGATGCCCGCAATTATTTTTTCCCCATCCAGAATGACCACATCTCGATATATTTTCTTCTCTACCGGTACAGTTGACTTCATCTAACCATATACGTCCTGAACCGTCAATAAGCTGGTGGCCTTCAAAAGATGCGGCAGCATCCAGGTACCCAAGTTGACGACATGCAACCCTTGCGTCCCTCATGTCCCAACGATCATCGCAGATTGTCCCCCATTGTCCATTGTAGAACACTTCAACACGACCAGTACCATTTGCCACTCAACGGTCCTTGCAACCTCAAGAACCCAGTCTCAACTGCAAAAACTTGGGAAATTACCCACGTGTAAGTTGTTAAAGCTTTTTCCCAAATAACAGCGATGCTTTATAAAGAAAGTATTATAATTTCTTCCTACCTTTGCAACGACGTAACACAAGATTTATACTGAGAAATGCGACCATTATGAAATCAATGCTCGTCATCTTGTAGACTGGTAAAGAGTAAAATATAAATGCATGTTAGTTGCATGGAGCAGACACCGCAGGAATTCTATATTAAGGATAAATTGTAGGATAAATTACGACATAATCATCTACAGACTACAGACACAACTGAAAGCTGACTTTCAAAATGGCTGCGACTTTTTTTGTCAAAGTGACAGAAGAAGAAATGAGTAAAATCAGAAAAGATCCTGCCAGTACGTAAGGGGAAAAATAAGCCTTGACCTTTTTTTGAGATACAAAAGTACGTTGTAGAACGCCACTTACCACTGACACTAATCGCTTAAAAACTTTTTTAGATTGCTGTAAAATTGCATGTCGCCATATTTGTTTGCATTCAGGTACGTTAAGCTGTGTAAGGCCGTGTCCACACGATGACGGAGGAATTTGAAAACACAAAAATATTTATCTGTTCAAATATTTATCCGCGTCCACACGTAAACACAAAAACGATCCGAAAACGCTAAAGTTATTTGATCCCGCAATACACCTTCATGTTTTCCACCCGCGTGTCACAGGCTGGATGTCGAATTCAAAGCAAAAATCTACCAAATCCAAAGTGAAAAACAAAAATGAGGACTTGGACAGATGACAGCCCGAACTTATAAATATTGTTGTTGAGTGCTATTAAATGCATGTCGTGTATAAGAAATTGTGTATAACCATACTCCGACATTTCGGACATGTTTCTCTCGTAAAATACATCCGCAAATGCTAAAAGAATTGGCGAAGATTTTACTCACCATGAAAATAACCTAAATAAGACTTATTTGAGGCTACAAAAGCAATATAAAGTTGAGCATATGCCACAAGACGTGAAACGTCATCGTTTCCAAATTTATCCGGCAAAGCTGCATGTCCACACGTATCCGCTCAGCTGTCGTTTTCAAATTCTTCCACTCTGGAGAGCGTTTTCAGATTCTTCCGTTTTCAGTGGACGAAAACACAGAATACGTGTGGACGGTACGCGTAACCGTGGGAATATTCTTGCGTTTTCAAATTCTTCCGGCGTCGTGCGGACGGGCCTAAAAAAACGCGGCTTTCGTTGCGTCACACATTAAAATAAAGTTTATGCAATATGAAAACGGTCATGACGTTCAATCGTTTGTCAGAAAACGACAGCTTTAAACAAAATTAATGACACTTACATCTGTACAATATATTATCTCTTCCCATGAACTGTCATGCATTAAAAGGAATTAAAGTTAATTACTTTTTAACTATTTTAGTGGAGGTGAATCGCGCATACAAATTATCTTATACTGAGCTCATCAGAGATAGCTCATCATTAACTATCAGATTAACACTTTGAAAATAACGGCACTCATTTACTTAAACCGTAGACTATCAGTCGAGTCTTTTTAAGCGGACGCAATATATAGTCATCATAGCAATATCACACTAATAATTACGACAAATATGCACATCAAAAGTACGAAACTATACATGTAATGCATTCTGTATTGTATGAAATAGTATACTCTGGCCATTGCGTCGATTTAAAATAATGTATTTTATTCATGAGCAGAAATTCAGGACATTATTTACCATAAAAGTTCATAATGTCCGATAATGCCAGGATTTCGCAATCAAGATGGCTGCCTTGTTCTAATAGAATTATATATAAGGCACGAGACAAAATTTGAAATTAAAGCAAATTCGGTCAAACATATAGCAGTTGCGGAGCTTGATTTAAGACGGGCAGAAACTGTTATGACATTTTTTCATATTTTATATTACCTTTAACAGGTTCCCCAGTATAATGTCATTTCAGCAACTATAACTATGATATATACTTGCAATATATGTCATAACAGAACTGAGTTTCTCTCCATTTTAAATCAATATATATGACCGAAGTTGCTTTAATTTCAAATTTTGTCTCGTGCCCATATAATTCTAAAATAACAAGGCAGCCATCTTTGATTGCGAAATCCTGGCATATTATGAACTTTTATGCTAATTAATCTCCGGAATTTCTGGTTATGTACTTTGCGATTTCTCAAAAGAATGCATGACACGATTTCTCAGCTCTTGCATGGATGAGTATGTTTTCAATTGGCTTCCCAACATTTCATATAAGCAAATATCCTCTTAAATCAAGTATAGGAAAAGATGTGCAATGATATTGTTCAACCGTACAGCCTCGCCAATTTGGAAAAATGAATAATTCATACTATAATGACAGACGGTATGTACACATTATTGTACGTTCCTGCCTTTGGTTTAAACGTTTTTTTGTCATGAAGTTGGCACCTTTGGATGAAATTGGATACCACATATCAGTTTTGAAACCACGGAGTAGTTGAAAATTCAAACGGGCTATAAAATTCCGAACTATTCATCTAAATTATAATTAAGTTGATGACGAATAGAATTGCATTTATATTGTTTGCATTGCGAAACAAGTTGACTGTTAATTATCACCGTGTTATTCCGACAGGTAATGGTGGAGTCACGGTATAATTTAAACGTAAATACCGATGTATATTTACCGTGAAACTAGGTTGACCGAATTGATTCTCAAGCTTATAAATCTGAAAGCTCATGTGCACTCCAAGAGCCGCGACTTGCATAAAACCACTCAGTCAGTAGCTAACTATATAAGTAGCTATGGTCATAAATAAGTAGCTGGAAGTGGGGATATTATACAGAAAAAAGTATGGTCGAAAATGTGATTGCAGGGCAACCTTGTCTTACATTATTTTCAAATAATATTGTTCGAATGATTTCCATTCAGGACATGATAGGCCTAAAAGTCTTACCTAACAAGGCATAGCTAGTCATCGACACTGAATAGTAGCTTAAAAATACAAGAGTTAATAAAGCATTCCTTGCTCAAATTCCAGTTACAAAATTGCCCGCGTACTGTTTGTAAAAAAGTATCCAATTACGTACTTTATTCCCAAACCAAGCTCCAGCTTTGAATCACGAGAGTTGGGACAACGTAACGAGATACTATCCAACACGTAAACTCTCTGAGGTCTTGTCTCTGGTTCGTACTTCGAATTTTGTTCCCGTCGGATCCATGCCAACTGCTAAGGTAATCTGATATCACATGAAGAGCCTCGTTACTTCATTATCATCTCATTAGCTATTGTCCCTCTTGTGACTGAAGTGCTATGTCTGTGAAGGGCTGAGAAACTGCCCTGGCGTACAGTCATATTCGAACATGATTTCGTCGCATGAAAATAGTTTATCGACGCTTGGTCGCTTTGGCCTGTTTAGTCGTGGCCTACCAACATAGATGACCACGATTTTCAAGGCAGAGACTAGCAGACGTTTGTTTGAACAACGAAATTCTAAGTGATGCGTGGGCCTGGATTAAGTCTGTAGTATCACCGTTGTTTAAAGACACGCCTCAAAAGATTACCATAATTATGCATGACAAAGATCACTTTCCAATGGCACGGTCTGATAATCTTCCGTCATCCTGCTGTTATTAAATAATTCCGTACACTAGCTCCTTCTTGGAAAGCGATGCTCACGTCGTGCAATTCTTAAGGTCGACACGGCAGACCGGACGCGATGCGGCAACGCGACGCGAATTCCCAGTTTTCAAGGAGCACATAAGTTAATTTTTGGAAGCAAAATTTTGAATTGATGGACGCCAGAGTAGTCAAAATGTACTATCTTTAAGTGATGTTCAAGAATATAATAACAGTTTTTGATATAATAATTTGCTTTTGGTAAATGAAAGGCCGCGTTGCCAAATCGCGTCCGGTGTGTGTGGGCCAGGGCCGTAGCTAGAAGCTTAATTGGGGGGGTGCATATTCATATATTCGTCATATGCCCGAATGATTTCTTTTGTATGCTATTGTTCCTATGGTATATAAACATGAATATATGAATATACACCCCCCCAATTAAGCGGTCTAGCTACGGCCCTGGTGTGGGCTTTTAGCTGATTTTCATATTTGAAAATAGACCTGTTTCTTTGACTGCTGTGTTCATATATCAGTCATTATCGATAATTATCCTGCACGGTTTTCTAAAGATCTACATATCTTTTGTCACAACTACAAATACTACAGCAATATAATGATGCTTTATTGTTTATTAATCACTGTCCGTGAATAAAATTTTCCCTCCCGCTTCACTAAAATTAAACGAAGCGTGGGGTTACTTTGAGGTATTGAAATTACTACATAACATGATCCTTGCAGTCGTGCAGTCATTCCGTCAATAGCATGCGCTAGCTTATTTTGTTTTATATACTCATTTCAATACCTCAAAATCATCTCACTTTTTTTATCCCACACTTTTTAGAAATATTGCTGATTTTAAAAGTTTTGGAAGAAAACATTCGTTAGATCCCGAACATTATATTGTTTGATTATTTATACAAGACTGAAAACGTCGGGGTTTTTTATTACGTGTATGTCGGACGTTTTTTCTATAGGATGGGATATCAGACTGAGAGTTTGACATTTTGTTTGAAGATATTGAAGCTGAGTTTTCGTTTGCAGACGGTTAGTACAAGTCTATGACGTGCATGGGTGTCAATCAAACCGTTAATTGAGCGTCGATGTTAATCGGCCAAGTTCATATATTCAGCTATGCCTGGCTATCCTTTTCTTGAGAACAATATTTCACCATTAATAGAAATCAGTCTGGTATTAGAGAAAAATTAATATGGTCAATTAACGTTTGATTGACGCCAATGATGACGAATGAATATTGTGTTGTCAATAATTGAATGCTTTCTGTGTTCACTTTTGCTTCTGGCGGCATCTCATCCGCAAACTTTCCCCTGACTTGTGATAGCCCACATCACAAGAGAGATGCCTATCACAAACTTGCTTCAAAATTGTGTTTTAAGTAAACAAAAAAAACCCTGAATGATAATAATAAAAAACATGCGACGTGTACAGCACGTAGCCAGACCTCTCTTGAAATGGGTATATGTGTCGATTTCATAGTACAGCTGGATGCTTTGCAATTCAGTTGAATGTGTGGATCGGAGAGTTTTGAAGTACTCCGCTAAGAACACCTTTCATTTTTAAGAGATATTATATCTTCTTATTATATTTTTTTCGGTTTATATATTGCTATACTTCCTGTCTTATCGTAGTTTGTCTATCCATTTCCTAATTATATTGTCATGTTAATATATTTTCATGTCATGTCTTTATATATTTTCACGTCATGTCAATTATTTTTCGTCGTCGCAAGTGCGTTTTGGCGTGAAATATACTAGCATTTGAAAACTCATCGTCGTCGCCAGGGCCTAGCTCTGTGGAGAGCAACGGAGCCAGACCCTGGGGACGAGGATGTTGAAAACTGAAATGCTCATTAGTACCCAAGACTTGACTGGATTCGACGCTCATTGAAGAGCGTATGTGACCGTATTTATCTACGTCAAAGTTTTGTCTCCCAAGAGTTGAGACACTTGCACTACTCGAAATCTTTGGCGAATTTTCCGATGGCGCGATTTGATTTCGCTCGCATGATACAGCAATTCCTCCAAAGAAACACAATAAACCACTCTTTTGATGCTGTTCGATTAAGTTTAGTTTTAATTGGGGTGAGAATATATTTAATACATGTAGATTCTGGTTGATTTTAATAATATCGCTGAACGTCAGTCTATACTTTTCAAAGTACGACGTGCTTCTGAATGTCGAACAAGATTTAGCAGGTTCTCAACACTTCTATACTTTTAAAACACAGTGTGTTGTCTGAATATCAAACAACATTTAGGTTCGCAAGGCTTCTAAATCAATGAGTATAAGCTGTAGTGTTTATGTTCAGAAGCTTTATATTCAAGGGACGTGCGGCACGCCAGAGTTAACGCCAGAGCAGGCGTCTTGTTTAATATTAGATTTTTAGCCAATTGCTGCTTTTAATATACCCGAAGCACCTATCGCGAAACCAAAAAAGCGGATAATTTCACCGCATTTTTAAAAGTCAGAGTTTAAACGAGATTTATCAAATAAAATCTCTTTTGGCAAAGAAATATTGATGTTTTAGAGTGGTGGCGCCTGATAATTTTGTCTTGCTTTTCTATTATGGTGGTGTTCATTGACTCTGAAAACAATGAATTTTTAAAGGAATGAATAATGATCATAACTAAAATTTTCATAGCATGACTACAGCGTGATTATAGTGGCTGCTCCACTCACATTATTGGGAGAAATTTAAGAATTTATTGGGAGAAACGGTTTCATAATCGCCAAAAATCCAACGAAAGTTTAACAGAAGAGCAGAAGTACATTGAGTACTCTTTATATCAACTTTAATAAACACTGATACTTTAATTAAAAACTACATAATTATTTGTAATATGTTTTTTAATTCACCAGACAAATATGCACGCCACACGCCGCACATATAGGTTTTTGTTAAACATAGTAGAACTACTTAACTGTATATTAAAAGGGTCATAAAAAAGCCGTTTCACGTTCGATTTGAAATAGCTTTCTTATGATAGTTTTAGCCCTTTTCATTTACAGTGTATAATTATTATAGCCTAAACCGCAGGCCATTTCGCATCTAAGTCCCACCAAAGAAAAAAAAAGCTATATACTATACTAAATACAGGATATCTAAACTTACAACAGGTAAAATTTATTCTTACGTTTTATCAACCTCGTGCCCAGGACCTTCTCGTAGTAAGGAAGTAGAAGGGCCTGGGAAAAGGCTGCCCCACGTGACCCTATTTTTTGGGGAATTCGGTGAATTCCAGGGCTTTTCCTTCCCCCTACGATAAGGCCTAGGTACGAGGTTGACGTTTTTTTATGACGTTTTCCAGGAAAATGGTTACACGTTTGCAACAGTGTTACGTGTATGAGGTATGAGAGAACGCTCCTCTTTCATCTGCTTTAGTTGAAGATCGCGACGTTGGACTTGTGTCTTTTTCCGAGCAAACTTTCGAAGTTGTTGTCTTGTACCAGTGGGTAAAATAACGAAGAAGATAAACACAAACAGTCCTTGAAGTGAGTTGAAAATGGCAAACAAATAGTGAAATACGACTTTACCATCGTCAATCGCAAGGATGCCAAAAAGCCAGGTCAAGCCAAGAAGAACCATAATCGCAATTCCTTGTTTAGCTTGCTGAAAACCCGATGTTTTGCGGTCAGAGGTAACTCTCGTACCGGAAGTGAGCAATGACCGAATTATGAAGCAAAAGGCAACGATATTACCAGTGAAGATCACAACAGCTGGAGTGAGAAATGCCACAATGAATGGCAAGCCTTGTAGTCGACAACTAAAAGAATAAACAATTCCCATATAACCTTTCTATTATGTTCTTCCTATGATTGCTAACTTTGGATTGGATTAAAGAAACTCTGTTATACTGAATATTCTCAGTGACCGCGGAAAATCGAAGAATTATCGGCTAGCATTCATATATTCCTGTCAACAGACCGTAACGAAGAAAGCAACTGGACACATTTTAAAAAATATATGACAACATATTTCAATGAGAATACTCAATTCAAGTCTACTTACTAATTATTGTCGCCATATTCATCCATGGCAACCACCATTGTAATTGCTACTATTATACCAGGAGTTCCTAAAATGTACCAGGCATTATTAGGATTATTTAAGACAAACGATACAATTATAACAGTTTAAAAGCAAAACAATATCAAAGGCAAATCGTCTTAGTCAAGACTTTACTCAATCTTTGCATTATTGCAAAATAATTGCTGACTTCCTGTAAACTAAACTTTTTATTTTCATTGAGACAATTAACGTGTAATTAAAATTTTGAAACGTTTTGCAAATTATTTACAAAGTCACATTATGTTATTTATACCTTTCAATAACATGTATATAACGTGTGTTTTGACCTGTCGAAGCCCTTGATGTTGTTATTATATAAAACAATATCACTTAATGATTTCCCGCGTTTGGACGGCCTGATCCAAACGTTTGGGAATGTGGCTTAAGTTAGGAAAAGCTCGCAATATCAGTATATCACTCGCCTTTGGCTGTTGTTTCGCGCGCTTTTCTAATTACAACTTTCGCAACATTCCAGCGTGTTTTGATCAATGACATGTCGCACCTCTCGGAAGCTTTCGTCCAATTGGATAATGCTTTTCTATGCTTTCTAAAGAACGAAGCTATACTATTGGTTGAAACAGAAAGGTATTGTGATGTTCAGCCAATGAAAATCATTCTGGCGAGAAGCTGCGACACTACACTTTGATTATAGGCCATCTAAACACGGAAACCACTACGTAGCTGTTTAATACAAGCTCTTCCATTTCCCCGTTATAATATATTTACCAAGACGTACCCCAGGCAAATAAACAGCTCTTCAGCATGAACTTGAATTGAGACGAATAAGAAAACACTTTAACAAAAGCGAGATACATATTAAACCCTTCCACAGCCATCCACAAAAACGCTGCTAACAAGAAGTAATGCAAGGCGACTGCCGCTGCTCGACAGCCAACCACCGGCAGTATTTTTGGCAACTCGGCAGAAACCAGGAATACAATCAGCATTAATGCCAACGCGATGCAGAAGTTTAACAAAATCTGGCTTGGAATTTTCGTTCGGAGTTCTCTAAATAGGGGAAGTAAAAGTTTTATTAATTTAAAGAATATTAGTTGTCTTTATTAGTGTCTTATTTGAAAGAGCTTTTAAAATTATGGTGAAAGTTCTATCTAAGACTTTTTGTATAGTGCTTTATTTATGAAATATTTCACGAAAATTAGCTAACCGTCCCCAATCTTGGATTATCACGGATATGCATTATACGTCACATGTGGGACACGTCATAACGCAACATTTTTATACATGGTTTGGAATATACTAAATAAAAGTCAAATACAACTCATCAACCATGTTATTGTCAAGGTTTATGCAGAAAATGGTTCCTTTCTCGTCACATGTCTATTGTATTTTAGCCAAACGTACCAATGGCATTCGTCTTGCTAAGCTCCTCAACCTTGCCTTGAAAAGTATGTTAATTAAAAGATTGCTATTGGTTTATCTGTGCAAAATACAATAGACATGTGATGAGAAAGGAACAATTTTGTGCATAAATCTACCTCAACAGAGTTAATGAGTTGTATTGTAGTTTTATGCGGTCTCCAAACCATGTATATTCTATTAACTGTGCACAAACATTCACCGAAGTAACTAGGCTTGAATGTAAACTTGAAATCCCATAGACCAAGATTGCATAGAACTTTATCAGAAGTTTAAAACCTATTTCAAAAAAGGAACTAATAATAGAAACTAAATTTTTATTGCCCATACGCTTTAATGATCAAAAGGAAGGATTGTGTGAAGCGACAATTCTTAATGGCAAGTACTAGTTTACATTACCTCAATATTGTAATCGTAATAATTGTCAAGATGAGACCAAACAATGAAAGCGCGCAACCAATAGTACTAACTACACTAAGTATTCTGTCATGCGTTGTGGCCGCTGCAGGTGGGCTTATGTCCTAAAATGTAGAAAAAAATCAAAATATTTAGTTCAATATTTTACAGAACTCTGATAAAGAAATAATTCAATGTCTTTTCTAATGCACTTCATGCACTCACAACTGATTACCCATTATTGGTTACGTTATATCTCCTTAAAAACTAGTTTTATTACTTACTTCATATTGAAGGTTTTATTAACTTCTTGTCTTTTTCCAGAAAATTTTTTTTATCATTTCGCAAATGCAGGGATCGAAATAATTCGTGTTTTTTTTGGAGCAATCGCTCCTTTTTTCATATCTTCTACATTGTGACGACTTACCATCAGCATCGCAAAGTTGGTAAAATGGTTACAGTTACAAAGTACTCTGTCATCTTTAAGAACTCTTTCAAACCAACAACCTTCTTGTGACCAATCCTGTAGACTGAATTCCCAGTAAGAACACAAAGTACTGTTCAAGTCCCCGGGAAAAATGCTCTGAAAAGCGATTTTCACAGGTACCTTTAAATTTACAACTGCTACGTCCTTAATATCCACAGAAATGACGAAACTATTCAAACGGCTCAAGGTGTTTTCATCCGTAGTGAAGAAGTTTGTTTCTTTATAAAAGATAAAAATGAATGTGCAGTTTCCTGAACAGTTTGCAACAGCTATTTCGTCAAATATCGTTCGTGGAATAATTAGCGAGGTTGATAAATAACTTGGAAGACTGGCGTTGTATTCGATTGAAATGCTGTTTTCCTCAAAAGACTTTACTTCACGTTTCCAATTAATCCCAGTCCCAGAAAACGTTATCCCGCTAAAGTTTTGTTGTTGTATAGCTTGCAGATTAAGAGCGTAATTCTTTTTGACTTTTTGAAACGTGCCGTTCGGATGAAGGACTAAATTATGAGCAAACTCATTCAAAGCTCGGACGATCCTGCAATCCCCAAAAAAATAACATAGAAAATTAGAAATGTGCCATGTTATTTCTCTTCAAGACCGAAAGGGCAAGAATTTCGCGCGATGAAATTAATGTCATCTTTTAGTAAAAAAATTCACCCATGATATTATCTATCTACAGTTGCAGAGTTGAACTTTCAGTAAAGGAACTTTTGTCCTTGCTTGCCACATTTTTACAAAAACATTAAAGAGAAATTTGTTTAAATATGTTTCCACACATTGGCTACAAACAGCTCGAAACGGATTCGTTTCTTTTCGCGGGCATTCTTTCAAAATGGCGTCTGTAAATTTTAGTGCATGTGAATCTAATTTTTGACGCAGAATTAGTGCAGAGAAGACTAAATTTGCCAAAAAGACACTGCAAAAAGTGAGAAAAATGCAAGGAAAAAGTTTGAAGTGCATTTGAAGTCTTGTAATTGACAACCTTCAGCGACAAAAAGTTTGAAATTTGAATATAATAATATGAGGTGATGGACAAATTCACGGATTCGCGCTTCAGAAGATTCTTCAATGGTAAATAAGACTAGAAATATTCCTGCAAAATTGCGGCCGTTTTTTCTTGATATATCTACCTGGAGGAGGAATTGTGTTGCCGTTCACTTTGGATGATATCTTCACCCTTATTACTTAGGACATTGTCTACAGTCGTAAGAAAATCTTCAGAAATCTGTAAAATATATGCAAAAAAATACGATTCGACAGTTTACATTCGTATAAAAGAGAGCATATCCCAAGAGGAAAATCTTGATGCAATCAAGACGAAAAAAACTCTATAGGTCTGTTCACACGATCCAATTTTGTTGGATCCAATTCACTTCTGATTGATGTTTAATAGCCTGTTGACTTGCAATGAATATAATCGGCAAATGCACTGAAGATCCCATCCCACATACGTCAGAAGTAAATTTGATCCAACAAAATTGGGTCATATGAACAGACGTAAAGAGATTAAACTTATAGGAATAGGGAATAATTATGGCTACTAAACTTCGAATATCATTCTCTAATTCCTATCCTGTCACCTCAACTTATTTAAAGATAACCTTAAGCCTGTCGCATACTGGAGCTATCAGCAAAGCTCAGCGTCACTCGTGACTGTTGGCGTAAGCAGGTTTCTTTAGTCTGCAGTGGCGATTTGAGCGCTTTCCGGCACGCGTGCCATCTGCGCCGGATATTCAACATGTTCAAGTTGTTATTTGAAGTTTGTTTCGTTTTACTTTTTATCAAATTGCCTGTTGGTAAAGAAATATGAAGTAACAAACCTCGTTAGATTTCTGTTTGACTGCCACAATTTTCTCTAATGTTTTTGCGATATTGGTAATTTCTCCAGCTTGAGAAGTTCTAATCTTCTCGGGATCAACAACAGACAATTCCTTCAGTTCCTCGGTGGCACTAACCACGTTTCCGGTATTAATATCTTTCTAAACATAAATTCCAGCATTCAATGACTCAGGAGTCGATGTTTCTAATCCAATTGCGCGCAGTCATTTGAAATGAAAAATGAATGAACACCGCAAGACAGGCACTTAGGGGAAAGATAAAGAGTATATACGCCGTTTTAATTTGGCACCCTTTTGCAGCTAAGAAAAGTTACAAAAAACATTTTACAACGAATTTATCCAAAAACGAAAATTACCATGGAGAAACAAACTTCGTCTAGCATATCAATTCTCGGACTAAATATCGGAAGAAAAATATCATGCAGTTTAGATTATTTTCATATTTACAGCGTTAATGTTATTCCTAATCGCTCGTAATCCACGTTATTTTGCAGACGCTTAACTACCTGTGACAATTGAAAAAGATCTTTGCTTCGTTTGTTTTGAAATTTGCAACTACTTGCCACAATCCCACTCCAGATGCTCCCACTCTTGGTTCGGTTTGAATACAAACATTCACGACTAGCGGTGGACTTGTCGTTGTAAGGACAAGAAAGTGTTGCACTTTTTCCGACTGGTGTTTCAGGCCATTTGAAAATGCCAAATGCTTCGCGTGTGCCGACTATGTCGCTAGGACAAGGACCTTAAATGGACAAAGTAGGAAAAATTGTATCAAAATAGTCATACAATATTATAGTATAAGATATCATATCTTATTCACTCGCAATGTATTCTATCATTATAAACTGTATAGTATAGGAAATCTGAAACGATGTCACCGGGTGAACCAAGGCATGAACGAAAAACTCTTTTTGACTATCCGTACTTTAAATATATCAGCCAGGTCAATATTTAACAAGAACATTGTCAGCTATACGGGAGGTCGTCTCTGAGAAACTGTCACTTTAAAATTCAAATCAGCAGCGACGACTGATTGTGTTGACTTGATTGTTGTGATTTCCTTGACCCCATGCATTTACACTATACACCGGATTCTTATGATCACGATATCTGTTTAAGTTGTTTTACGGTATCCGCAGAAATTTTTCATTTGATCATGTGAAAGCAATCATATTATCATACTTTTGGGGTCAAACTCGCTGATATCATGAAATGTGAAATCAAACAGTACAGTCGTAAAATTATAGAACAGTCAAGAGATTTTAGACCGATATCTAAGACGTTTTGCTAAAACACCTGTAATAACGAAATTATTGCAAAAAGCGAAATTATCAGCACACGCATGCTATACCTGTGTTGGTGCATTCAATTCCAACGTCTTGCGAATGCACGCAACTATGGTTTCCCCATCCATTGTGAGAGCAACTTGTTATATTTTGCTCTCTTCCATTGCAAGCAACGTCGTCCAACCATATACGCTCAGAACCAGGAAGAGCCTGCCTCCAATGAAAATGTCTGATGGCATATTGATAACCCAGTTGACGACATACAACCCTAGTATCTCTCATATCCCATTCATTACCACAGATGGTTCCCCATTGACCATAGTAAAATACTTCAACACGACCAGTACCTTTTGCACTCTTTGGTCCTTGTAACCTAACTGAAACAAGAATACCTGAAAAAAGTAAAATATATAAAGGTATACATATATTTGTCGGATCTAGCAGTTTTTACGATAAATAAACGATAATATTTTTTTCGTACCGATTGCCTGTAAATTGACTGTAGCATAAACTTAGCCTGG